CAATAAATTTTACATAAAAATTGATGATATATATTTTATAAAAAAGTTTAATTAACGTATAAAATATTATCAATTTTTATAATTTATTTAAATAATAATTATTATAGATGTTACTGCATCTAAATAAAAAAAAAGCATCGATTCTCTTGAAAAAGTGATTTTTTAATTGAGACTACTTATTTATATTACTTTATTTTATCTTTCCATTTATAAACACCGAGACTGGTTGCATCTGGTAATGCTACATTTGTACTGTGGACGCATCTCGGAATGTCTGACGATAATGATCAACGTTGAAGTGGGGGTGGGTGCTGACGGAGAGAGGAAAGAGAGAGAAGAAACGAAGGCGGTAATTCGAGGCCCGGAGGTGAGTGAGCAAGGTATGCTAGTACCAAATGAGATTGGTTCGCTCTGACCATGCAGGACAACTTTTGGGTCCTACTCGGCCCGCCTAAGTCCTTTCCACATCCTCGATGAGGCTCACTCCACTCTCTACAGCACCCCCCTACCATCGCAACCGGCCTCGACGGTGTCGAAGTTCCATTACCGGCGACGCCCGATCCAAGCGTCCCGCCATTTTAAGAAATTTGGCGATTTACATTTATTCCGCCCGAGTGGAGATTTTTATGTTCGCTACGCGCCGCGGAGAATCATTACCGTTACGAGAGATGATCATAAAAATTCATGTGCTTTCAGGCGAGCTTAATGCATATTGTGACATGACAAATGCACAAAAATGCTTAAGACAATTCGCTGATTTGATTATTAGGTTAAATATGTGAGGGTAAAAGCCTGCTGAGTAATTAACTATCAAATTTATTATTATTTAAAAACTGTTTTCTTTTTGAATACAATAGTTTTCAAAAATTTACTTGATTTTATAGAAATTCGATTAACTATGTCAGATCTCCTTCTAGGCATATATTTAGGTAGTAGTTGGTTGGCCCATCCTGGAAAGTGTATGACACACAGACATGATCTTCCCCACCCTTGCCTTTGAATGTACCCAACTTGCTTCACTACTACCATTGAGCATCGAGTTACTAAGTTCTCGTCCCTTCCCTTAAGAAGTCGTGCTTCTAAATGTGCCAAATGCATTCTTTGTTCGGTTGGAATGTAGAAGTTCTATAACTGACCGAATTATATTTTGCCCTTCTCAGAATGAGCTGAATAAAAATACCAAAACTTACATAGAATTTGATTCTATTAAAGATATTCTATATTTTTATATGCTTTTATTGGAAGTAAAATTCTGTCAATATAAAATAATAATGATAGCAAATTGCAAAAAATGCATATTTCTTATCATAATGAACTTTTTAATTAAAAAAAATAAAACAAATTTATTACGCTGCTATTTAAACAAAAATAGAGTAAAATTTTATTAACGTATTTTTCTAGAAGTTATATAACAAGTGGCATATTATTCTATGGCATATTATTCATTACTATTGAAAAATTATGAAAGGGAAATTCTGTGCTCTGATCGCAAGATCAACGATGCCATGCCCGTTCCTTCGGGACGTATCTAATTGCCCGCAATTCCCGTCTTCCGGGTACGATGCATGTGAGCCCGCATTAATTGCCCTCAGGGTGACGCGCATTTGCGTTCGTTGTTGCGACGTGCGTGATATGCCGACTGCAGAGTTGTCACGGTTGTATGTACCGAGAAGAACGGTGCAACGGTTTCAATTGTCCGCAATATGGCCGCTGGCTTAGCTTCTCGGCTAGGCTTTATAGTCGTTATCCTTGAGAACGCGCCGTGCATCTCCTTCGTTTTGTTTCAGTATACGCGGACGGAGCGGGCGGAAAGGCAGTGAGTGAGAGAGCACGGAAGGAGAGACGAGTAGTAGGAGGAAAAGAGGGACGGAGGTAGACAAGGAACCACGCCACAATGAGGACCCGAATGTTGCAAAACCGCCTCTGTGACGGTACCGGCCGGCTTCTACAAGAAATGATAATTGCTGGTCCCCATCCCGCGTGCTGCACACACAGTTCGTCCTGATCTATCCACTCCCCCTTTCGTCCTATCAACTCCTACCAACTGTACAATTGGTATTGCGAGAGCTACCCTCTTTTCGCAGGAGCCACTATTTATTAGAGTAAGGGGAGGTCCAAGAATATTCTTGAGGACTCCCTCTCTGCCGTTCACCGAGCGTCGAATTCTCTTGGAAATATAGACCAGTATTCTGTTCCGAGACGCTTCTCCAAGCGTGATTATTGGTTTTGTTTCTCTTCTCGTTTTAACCCGGCTTAGTATTCAAACGAGAATCGCGTGAGGATGGATAAGCATTAAGAAAAGGTGGTTAAGGTGAAAGAGAGATGGATACGAGTGATTTATTATCATCTGAATCGCCATTGGTAAGGTAACGCGAAAATAATAGTAGATAGTTCTTTGAACGTAAATCAAAAGGTTTAATTCTTATTTTTGCCTCCTTTTCTGGCCTGCTAAACAGAGTATTAATTTCATTTCTCTACAAAAAAGAGTTGACACATTTAGAGAATTATTATTAGTTAGAGAGATTGCTCCAAACTAAACACCGAAAGCCTAGATAGTTGCAATCATTGGATGCAGCGCAGCGGCGCGATTCGACTTCGAATTAGTGTTCACTCTAAATTGAGCGGCGTTTTTATAAGGCCGGGACCTAATTGCGGAACGGCGGTAAATTTTTTGACGGACCGCTCCCATGAAAAATCACTCGTCAGATATACAATACTAGCCTCTGTAAGGCCAGTCATCGTGAATCAACGGCTAAAAACCATATGTTCTTGACCGACTGAGCTATGGAGTCATTGAGAAAACGGTTGTAATGAGAGACCACCCAATGGGTACTTCGTGCTGATCGGCAAATCAACGGAAATTCTAGTCAACAACCCCTCATTATGCTCTTCATTATTTTGCAGTTGCAATCTACTCACGCATAATCAATTCTGTCGTACTTTTTCTCTTTGATATTCATACACACGTTGTTTGCATATTATGCACCCTCTTTAAAATTACTCTAACGTGTAAATTCTGAATACGTAATATTTATAAGGAACTAAAATACTTATTAAGTAATTTGTATGATAATGAATAAATTAAATATTTTTCTTACTTTTTGACTTTTTTCATACCAGAAATGTGTGATAGAAAAAATACAATCTCTCTTCGATTTCATCTTCTTCATTCTTTTATTTTTAAATTTATCCCTCGAAGTATAAAGTCTTTATTACCCTACAATTTGTTAATTAAATTCGCAAAAATATACTGTAAAAGATCTAAAAAATAAATAATATCTTACAACAGTCTTTACATGCAAGTAATTTTTGACAAGCATGACAATCTGTTGTAGGTCGCAAGATAGAATTGTATTTGTATCGGTATTTGAGCCCAGAATTTCTCTACCTGACTTGGACTAAGAAAGGAGGTATTATAACCGCAGTAAAGCACTAAAACAGCCGAACAGTTCTAGCTCGTGGAGCTAGAGGCTCCACGACCTCCACGCGGTAAGTGGACATTAGCGCCCGCATTGTGAAACGGACCGCATCGTCTTAACTGATGAGAGTCCCGAACAAAGGAAATATGGTTTGCGTTGCGCGGTCCTGAATATTACATACACGGTAAATAAAAATAAATTGTTCAATTATGATAATGATATATTTTATATTATACATATATATTATTAATGTTCAAACATATTTAGCATTATTAATTATAATATTTTTTAAGAAATTAAATTAATATGTATATGTAATGTCACGTTTTAAATAATAATATTAATAAACATAATAAATAAAATGAAAGACTTGCTAAAGTAAAAGTCATGATTATTACAACTAGATATTTTGTTCATGTGGTTTACTGATTATCTAGCATACGCTGTACTCTTTCGGCGCCTATGTCTCCATATATATGTATAAGCCACGTTTTACGCTTCGTGGATATTTTCGGGTCTTCTTAGCTCCTTGTCCCACTCGGTCTATAGGGGGGGGGGGATTACTCGTCGACCGACAACGCTATTGGTTACTGAGATTGCGTTACCGCGTCTTCTGATGGGTAAAGGTATGAGAGGAATTTATTGCGGGTTCATCGAAGAAATGGTGATCCTCAAAGAACGTAAGAACCTTGCAAGAATGGCTTGCGCTAATGTGCAACGTTCCATTGTAATACAACGAAACGTCTCGGTAGCAGCTTTTATTTATTTATTTGAAAATAAATTGCTACATTATCAATATTGTTCTCAATATATAATATAATCAATCAAATGATATAATATAAATTTCGAATAAAATTTATTTTTCCTCAAATATTCTCCAAAATCAAATTACAATCTCTAATCAGAGTTTTATCTGATATTTTTACTCATATCTAAAATAATCAGATATTTACTTTACGAATTCCATAGATTATTTCTTTTAATAGCGCACTTGTTTTGAAAGCATAAACATACAAATTCATGCTTCAAATCGTATGGGCTGTAATGAATGACGTTCCCTATAGAATATCTCTTAAACTAAGTCTAGCTTCAACTTGAAATTTTTTGTGATTAATATCTCATCATAAGGAATCATTTGGCACACAATTCAATTCCAAAATCGCGGGACCAGAAACAGGAGATTTTTGCGGTCACTATTTGTCGTCGAGAAAGCCGAGAAAGATAGAATTTTATTTAATTTGACAAGAGTGAGAAGTAATACAAAGTCACACAATGTGATTCCGGTATGCGACAGAGTGGTTTGTTCGAATATACTTTCTTATGGATAATGTAATGGATGACGAAGCTAAGGAACGATACTTTTGGGAATACGAAGAAAGCAAAAGCATCTTTCTTGATAGAAATAACATCGTTTGAAACCTAAGATTATTGGACACAAAGCTTTGCTGATATTCTTTCTAAAGTAAATTTGCAGTTTACATTGCAGTGTAAATTTTTGAAGTTTAAATTTTTTGATGGATCAAAATAGATATTTTTTGAAATAGATATTTGTTACTTTTTTATACAAATATATAAGATATTTGCTTTCTTAAAAGTATGTTAGATGCATTTATGATTTTTATTTCAAACGCTTCGCAAAAGAAGCACTTTATTTCCGTTTTCTTTCCTTCTCTCTCTTTTTTTTTATTTCAGAAGATAATTCTCCTAACTCTCCTAGCCGAATAATTTTCGGGCATCCTTAGGCTTTCTCACGCTGATTCAGTATGAGGGAGGTATGTTGTCGAGTGCGAGACTTGCACGTTCACAAATCAAACAAGTGTAAAGAGGCAGCAGGAGAATGATTCGCTGCACATTCACGCCGCCGCGCGTCCTGTCGCCCCTCGTCAAACACCATCGGGTTCGACGCGCGCGGACGGAAGATCCTTATCTCGAATCAAAGATGCAAAATCTTCGTTCAAGAGGCGAGGAAGGCCTTTTCTCAGGTAAGACGCATTATTTTAAAAGAATTTCAAGATTTATGACAATGCAATTATTTGGATCCTTAGATTGTGATCCTCAACTTTATCAAAGATTGTTGATCGATTTCTTGATGGGAAATAGTTGACTTGTGCATTTACGTTAAAAGAAAGATTATTCTTTTTGAAGAAGATTATGTTCCTGAACAATCAAAAGAAAGAAAAGAGAAGTAGAGAAAAAAAAAGAGTGAGAGAGACATATTGAAAAACAGATGATGATTCTAGCAAAGATTTGAAGTCATTTGCACTTCGTCAAGAGTTAAGTCAAGAGTTAGGTTTGTCTCAATTTGTCCCTCTCATTGAAGTAAATGTACCTTCCAAGCGCAATTTACGAGAGAAAACGATGTCTTTTACAGGATAAAACTACTTGAACAGAGGTACTTCATTTATTTCTCTTCAATCATTAATCTTTTATAAATAAATTTATAATAAAACAAATTTTTTATTTTTGATTTCGATTATTTATTTTGAAGAACCGAAAATGTAAAAATAAAATAACGTTTAGAAAAAAAACTAATTCTAGAAAAGTAATAAATTTAATGGTTCGTAAAGCGTGGAATGTGTGGAATAAATGTAGTATTAAAAAAAATTAGTATTGAAAAAAAAAAATTAAAAAATATGATAGAAAATATAACATCACAATTATGTGCTTTTTGTTAAAAGCAAAGATAACTCTTTGTTTCTTGTTTAGAAACAAGACGACAAATCAAAATTCACTTATGCCATTTATTATTCAAATAGAATCCAATATTTCATACTGAAATATTGGATGTTTGTCAAAGATCCGTTAAAAAAAAAAGAAGATGTAATAAAGAGAAAGTATGCTGATCAATAATTCGACAACAAATAGATTTTGTGTAGCTACACAAACAATCACAAAAGTCGCACATACGTTTTACCTACAATCCCACTAAAAAAACAGGTTCCGAAAGAACCTGACCGAAAGTAAGTGACTATTAACAATGGAATAGCTTTATAAAAATTTATCATCCCTGGGCTTAATAGTCCGTTCGAAGGACGGAGTATCTCGGTCGACGATGCCGATAATAAAATACCAATGAACGGAGTGAAAGAGGTTCTCTCCCCTTCCTCCGCTGGTCCTACTGACTCCCACCGTGCTCGCGGCCTGGTGAAGAAGCGGCACACGATTTTACACGCTAATCCCTCCTACATACGCATTGGTACCTGTCAAAAAATGGCGTTGGGGTGCAGGAATATCTTCTGAGATGGAGAAGATGGGTGATCTCCAGAAGTTAACCACACGCAGGGCTGCGAGTGGCCAGTTTCAATGGTGTAGAACCCTTGTCAGATTTTCAAAACAATATTTGCTAATAGTCAGCCTCTATTCAGAAAATATTCTAGGATCGTACAATAAAACTTGCAATGCCTATGATAAATGTATGATTGTTATATTTCGACTACGATATTCCTTATCTTATGACATTAATATTGTTTTTCAAAAATGTTTTTGTAAATATTCATTTCATTTAAATTTGGTTAAAATATTTTCCTTTTTTTTTAGTAAATTTCATTAACTGCAAAATTATTATAACTGGTATTTTTAATTGCTATAAATATGAATTAAACACTATTATCTCATTTCTAAAACGCCCATATCATTTTTTATATGATTATTAATAACTCGTTAATTATATCTTTGCTTTATGTAACAAGTTTTCTGGTACAATTTTCGCGGTAAAATAATGTTATAGTGTTGTTAAGAGAAAAATATTTTAAAGAATTTATATGTACATGTGTTCAAAAGGGTACGCAATTCAAGATAGTCTACGCCAGTGAGAAGCAGGTCAGTTGCTGTAAGGTTTTCGATGAGGACAAAGAGATCCTTTCCTTTCCCCATCCTTTTTCTTACTTCAAGAACCTCCCTCTTCGCCTTCGCAGGCCCGTCATTGCATTAATGTAAGCGAGGCTGCGCCACCAAACAACGCAATGGCTGCAGCTGTCGGATGCTTGCCCTTCAAGCTAATGCTTCTCCAAATATAACGTACAATATCTTGAGGTACCGCCGAAAATATAGAATATGCAAGTACGCGGTATAAAAAATTTCAAAGTATTAAATTTGAACTAATACAAGTTGCCTCTTCTCATTTTAATTTTCTTTAGATTCATAAAATAAATTATTTAATAAGTAATAAATGCTAAAATTTGTATACGTAATTATATTGGATATTTCTCTAAAACTTTAAGTTTGTATTGCAGCATCGCACTTACATAAATTTGTACAATTTTAATATATATATATATACATATATATATATATAATAAATTTATCTTTCCATTTTTATCAAAGTAGAACAGCAACCTAGAGATAAAGCCTATTCTATAATAATCGCACAGGTTGTGTTGCATGTCGTGAATAGTAGTATTGTAGAAAAATTTGTTGCATGTCACAAAAGTGTCGCTAGATGAGTATCTACAACAGTCGCAAGGATTGCTTGCGACAGCCAATTATAATAAAAGGCAAAGAATTCGAGATACTCCTCTCTGTTTCATTCATCTTCATAATCTTCAAATATAAGAATCAGAAAATAGGATAATGGATCAACTCACAAAGTAGCAACACACACAAATCATCAACAAAATTCTTCTGCGAAATTTGCTGCTTTATGTGTGATTAGCTGAGCTCTGCAGATTGCATGAGCTTATCGCAGTTACAGAAAGTTGAAGTTAACTTAATTTCGTATAACAAGGGCTCGACTACGATAACCATACGACTAGAAACAGTAAGCTAGAAATACATAGAAAAATGTAAGACAGATAATAAAAAACATAAGGCAATAATTTCATGTTCTGTACTGTAATTGGTCGATTCGCTTATTGTTTATGTCTTACTGAATTACGTTTTTCTACATGGTTCTAACTTATTCCTGTGACATTCTCGTACGACATGCGACACAGCCTGTGCGACTATTGTAAAATAGACTTAACACATGCGTATGATGCTATACGTTATATGGCAATTATATTTGTAGAAAAGTAATTTTTAATGTATTTAGACTGAGTCAAAATATTATCTATATTATTATTGCAGTCTACATTTTAATTGGTGCAATATATTCAGTGCTGCAATAAACTTGCGATATCAGAATTAAAGTTTTTCTTTTTGAACGTTTTAGAGATTCGTTAACGCCATTGTCGCGACTCACGTTTGCGGCGATTCTTTCCTTTCCAGCGAATTAAGGCGATGCCATCGCGGCAGACCGATCGTTTGTTTGTATATTTTTTGTTTAGTGTGCATCGTTCTCAGCTTCGAGATGCATTCCATCGACAAAGAATTTCGCCATTAAGTGCACTAGAAGCGAATTAAATCAGTCAATTGTTGACTGTGTACAATAAATCGGTTTATTTAATATAGTGTAAAATAATTGATACAATAAATAGTGAAGAAAGAATGTTCTATGACTGCAAAAGTCGTGCTAGAGTAATTTAATTTTTTTTTAATAGAAAGTGATTATTTATAGAAGTGCGAGTAAAGAAGCAAATTCGAGTATCGATCAACGCAGTGCTGTGCAGTTGCACGTGATAGATATGAAAATTTTTGTTATTTTTAAAGCTTCAAGTTGTGTCGAGCAGCATCACGATTAATCTACTTACAACGATTGCCGATCTTGTAGGTACGCACAGATTCACTAACTGCAGATCATTGCGACTCTCATGAAGCGTGACTCTTCCATTCAATTTTCCCTGAAAGGCCATGAAACTCTTAATACGGAAAAAGAATTAATTGAGTTAGCCTTTGTACTAACAGTTTCAGTTTATTTTTAAACATACATAAAAGCTGTGTTAATTATGTTTTTATAAGTATATTATGTAATATTTTTCGATTTAGCAATTATTATTTCTTTACAAATATGAGTTAATTAATAACATATTAGTTCAGCTATGAGTTTTATCTCCGATGTATAAATGCTTTTTTTTAATTATTTCATCGTTATTTCATGGATTTTACTATTATTGTACTTTATTCAAACTCACATATTTCTTACGTGCTATGAAGTCCGAAGAAATCGGAGGCGGACAGGTTTTTTAAAAATGAGTATCATCCGCCGATATATTTAACATTAGACAAATTTTTATCTGACGATAGGAAGACAGCTATGCCAGATAGTTAAAAATTAGAGATTCAATAATTACCTGCCACAGATCAATAGAATATGAACAAAGTGGTCATATACTTTTAAAGTCATGAATAAAAATAATTACAAAAATGTATCTGTTGTTCTCTCACATACGCAATAGTATCTTATCAAGAGAAATATCTTGTAGCATAGATTTTCAATCTTAAAGGTATAAATTAGTAGTTTTTAAATAAATTTTAGTAGTTTTTAATGATGTCGTCAATAATGCATTAAAAGATGTAAAATAAATTTTATAAAATATGAAATAAATTATATGACATTTATAATAATTTCTAATAGTTAAATAATTTATTTATTAGTATAATAAAGTCTTTTGCACAAGATATATGATTATAATTTAGGATCTACAAATCTTAAACATAACATAAACAATGTAATTGTCGGAAAAATCTTCAATTGCTCTATTTATTTATTATTCTAAAAAATTTTAATTATTATTAATCACATTTTAATTGTAAAAACAAAAATTCCTTCAACTTGTATACTCTTTTGACTTCAAACGGCAAAATTCAAACGGTTAAGCAAGACCTGAGACGGGTACCATCATCATGAAAAAAGAAGAAAATGAAAAAAAGGACTGAAGATAAAAGCAACAAAATTGAAGGGCAGGAGCAGGTACTTGTACTCGAATAGACTGTCGAATAGTCGGTACTAATGATCAACCACGTGGGGTGCATCACGCCGGTCGAATCGTGTAGCCTGGCTAAGTGAAAATGCGCGTAGATTCTTCGAAGATACAAGTCCCGCCGCCGATCCCTTCTTCTCTATAGCACGCTCTATGGGAGGAATAATAAAAGTACCAACTCACAGGACATAATCCTGTAGGATCTGTTATCCATGCATACACCATCTTCCACATATATGCGCACACACCAGCATTATTTATCGTCATATAGGATATCTCACTAAAAAAAAGAGCTGATTGTATTAATTGGAAATCTAATAGATTCAACCAGTATGTCTGTTCAAAAATAAACAAATCAGAATTCTTGTAGGAATTACCAGATGATTAATTCTTTTTTATATGGAATTTCTTGTTAATCAAATTATTAATACATTTTAGCACATATAACTTTCAGAAATTATTAGATTCCTGGATTATTTTTTGTATAGAATTAAAAATTGTAATGCAAAATATATTTTTCATTACTTTTTTTTTACTCAATTTTGTGGACGGTAAAGAATAATTCTTTTCCCTAGGATTTGTGGATGAAATCGAACTCGGAACCACAATCGTGAATTGACCGCATAAAGCGTGCAGCTATTCGATTTCCTTGGATCTCAGAATGCTGGCCCTTCTATTCTATTTTATATGCAATTTTAAATTCATGAGTCATAAAATTCTATCTCGCAGCAGTACAATGTACTATTCGCGGGAAACGTCTATTGAATATAACTAAAAGTTTTACAGAAGTTTATCAAATTAGTTTTAATTATAAAATATTAAATCATATTGTGATAACTAGAAATTCTGCGTGGTTTCACTAAAATGCATTCAACCATTCTTGTTGAAGTATTACATAATTTTTCTCAGTGCACGGATTCAAATATTATAAATTTTAAAAATTTTAATAATAAGTCTTTGCAATTC